GTCCCCGCCCCCGCCCGCATCGCCACGACCGCGACCCCGCGCCCGTCCCTGCTGCGCCCGCAGCGCTGCACTGAGCCACGATGGCTGCTACCACGCGGCAGGACGGCGAGCGAGGGCTCGCAAGCTTCTAGAAGCCACCAAATGCATCGAACACATTAGGTTATCTTGAAAAAGCATGAGCGTACAAAACTGTTCGTCAATTGGAGCCTTGTTATTCCTAACTGTGAAGTGCAAAAGAATGCAATACTCTTTATAAACATTTCTGCGATGTAATATTTTGAAGGTACTTATCGTTATCGATTTTTGTTTCTGTCTTCTAGGGTGGAATAATTCCGTTAGCATAAGTAGATAATATCTTTTGAATTCGTTCAATTGCTCAATCTTATGTTCGGTAGTGTGATAAGAGGAATCTCTTGAATTTTCCTTAAAATGGAAATAACGTGTTTGTTTTGTTCGCGAGCTAGAAATGGGCTAATTATACCCCGAGACGTGGGAAAGACAACTTGATCAGTGACAATCAATTCATTACCGCCAGTCACGCATTCGGACATAAGGAATGTGGCCTGCATGCCTGCGTCTATTAATTGCCACCTCTTTTGTGGGGGCCAAGGAATACTTCTCTCTCTCGGTAGGATTGACTTCGGCTACGAAGTGAATATCCAAAAAAATATTTTTAGAGAAGTGAAAAGTCACAAACCATCAAATTCTACAGCCAAACAAATCTAGTGCAAACATACATCTGTGCACTTTATTAATGAAAATTTTAAAAAAAAGGTAACACTACAAAAGTCGAATTTTCGTTGGTGATGTCATACATGAAAAACTACCATTTAATCAGCTCAGACTAATGCAATGTTTTTCTACAGAATTGTATTTTAAGTTGCACATTAAAACTAATAATAAGTAGATGTTATATTACCTGACCTCCTTCGACATATTATACAATGATCGAAGGAAGATCAAAACGAACGAGATTTAATTGTGCCTCTCAATGCGGTTCATGTTACCAGCGACATACTTGAGACAATCATCGCTTCTAATTAATCTTCGGTTTAAGGCACGTTTTTAAAGACTTTGTTATGCAGTTCGTACACCCATTGTATAACTGGATAATTAAGAGTGCTTTAAACAGTGTTTGATAGGTATGGATAAGATGTTGTCAAGCCAGATCACAAATCTATATTGTAGTTATAAATTGAAATGATTATTGTTCTTTGTACTCGTTGAAAACAAATGTATTCCGAACCATATAGTGAGTATATCTCCTTCTAGCAGAAGTCAGTATTCAACAATCAAGTAAGTGCTGGAGTGTTATATCCGTGCATTAATTGTATGTTGTGGGCGATTATTTTAACAAATTCCTCATTACTTACTGAGTTGTTCTTTTTTCGAAAAGGAAGGTGCGAAAATGCATAATGAGTTCATTGAAGGCGTGAAGTCAAGTAACACGCAACCCTAACACTAGTCGAGATGAAAGACTGAACATTGTGCACGGGAATTCGAGTATCACTCTTGACAGGGCGCCTTAACGTTTTTTGTAAACTACCAACCCCCAAGCAAACGTCGATTTCGTGTTATCTTATGTAAAATTCGAACTGGAATATAATTGTTCCTGAATGTCCACTCAGTTGTTTTATTAACATTGCGCAAGCAATGTTGCCCTACACCTTCAACGATCACTACCACGTAAAGTTAAAAGGCTGAAACAAGGATGCATCTCCAATGCTGTAAACGTAGGACTGAGATACAAATTCCATTAATTAATTAATTTAAATATTATAGATTCAACCGATGCATTTAATGTATCACTGACTCCGTATTAATTGCTAAAATGTCAAATCAATACTTTTCGCAACTTCACTTTACGTGGGATCGACCTTGTCTAACTCCGTACCTCGTCTGCTTTTCCGTCACCTCACGACGTCATTGCTCACTTCCCATTTCCCAAACACAATATTACAACCATGATCCACGAGCTTGCCCCTTGTGGTTAGAGTGTGTGTGTGTGTGTAGGGGGTATACTCTTGAATGAACTGGTCGACAAACGCCACCACAAGTGGAAAACGGTACATTTCATTGGTGGATACACGAGAGAGGAGGGTGCATTGGTGTCAAGCCAATATTTGTTTAATTTTACTCATCTTATTCTGAGGAACCACTTATCGTCTGACGGTTTAACAATTTTAGCCAAGTAACGACCGTGTGCCAAATAAAAAAAGATGGCAGCTATGTGGTAGCAGCCCAGTGTGCGACTTCCGTTCGCACGTTCACAATGTTGTTTCACTCCTGATTAGCGAGTTACCCATGGTTACACGTTCCAAAGTAGAAAGAGATGGGTGGGCTCTTCCAGTGTACCGATTTTTGCACGTTCAGCTCAGCATCAGTTTGCGTCACGAACCACGTGACCACAACACGAGTACTTCGTTTGAAAAGCTATACCAGAGTTTTGAAGCTACGTTACATTGAAAGCGTGAAAGTGCCGAGATACATTTTGAAAGTGACATAAAGTGACAATTTTCCTTGGTGACCAACCAAAAATAACACGAACGTGTAATTGAAGTAAAAGAAACAATATTTTTAAAAAAAATTGCTTATCTCTTTCTGTTTCACAGACTTGTAACTGTGATAATTTTGGCATTAAAAAGTCCCGTTAATATTATGACCCAAACTGGTCTGAAGCTCATTGGCTGAAGATGCGCAGGAGCTCACATATCTCTTTCTATTATACATATTCCCGTTGAGTTTGGTTCATAATCAATGTAGCACCTATAAGATTTCGAGTTTAGTATATATCGTGATTGAACATGTGATTAAATATTAGGAAAAAATATATTATTTCCAATCACATTTTGGTGCAAATTTCAAATTTTTGTACTGATAAAATTGATTTTAATTATTTTTTACTATAGTACACATTGGTTAAAAATAAAAATAAAATGTTATAAGCTGTTATGAGACACATTCTAGAAAAAAGCTGAAACTACTCCAACGCTATCACAACGAAAATCAATTTAATTTTTTTTTCTATTTGAATTTCGGCGTCAAAATACGTTGACAAAAATATCTTGAAATTCAACTATTTTTCTCCGTCTTTCTGATTTTGTTCAGCCTGATACATACAATAGAAGATGAGAAAAAATGAAACATGAAAAACACGTTACTCATTGTATCTCTGTAACAGTTTGCCCTAAGGGGTTGATTTTTTGAGTAATTATAACATTTTTTATTCTATTTTATAAGAGTATCGCGATAATCCATTTGGCTTAGGGGCACTTTTCACCCTGTTATTCGGCTATACCCTTTTATTGTAATATGTCACCTTCTTGGTGTTGCAATTTTCACAAATACCAAAGTGAATTTCAACTTAATGACACCATACTTCTAGGGGACCTAAATGCCAAAAATACCAACTGTAGTTCTTCGAATGCCAACGCTAATGGGAAAATATTAGCCCAAATAATGCAATGATTCATGTAGTGAGATGATTTGCCCACTTATTTGAATGGGCTATACACCGTATTTCTAGCTACAAAGCTATATTTAACTTTTATGTTCTTCTATGCACTACTATGTATCAATATTTCTTTTTACTCCATCCTCATTGTAACTCATAAACAATATTTTAAAGCGGTGGCCTCTTTAAAAAAATTATTATGTAATTTTAACTATCAAACATTTACAATTTAATAATTGATTTCTCACCAGCAATGTTATCATCTACAAATTATAGCAAAACTGAGGAAGTTGAGAGCAGCCTCTCACATCGAGATTGATATACAAATGAAGTGTAGGCAATTCCAAGAAAGGTAGTGTTTGGCAGCACATACATTTGTGACTATTTTCCCTCATTATGAAGCTGAATAAGATACCCCAACGAGCAAACCTCTTTTACGTAATTTTACGTGCAAGCATGACATTATTATGAGTCTTGATAAATAGAAAGCAAATCTTTTATATACGATGTCATAAAGGATTATCAATAAATAGTGTTCATTGATTTGAAATTAAAAATATATAACTTACTCTTGTTGGAAATTAGAACAGAAAGTAATCATCATTTTTTTAACGAATAAGATTTTTAACTTTGATTTAGCTAGAACCGTCTTCATCAATTAAACATAGTTAATGAAAAAAATAATCTATTACTATCAACATCACACAAAACATCAAAAAAAGATTCTTTATTATAATTTTGTATTTAGCAGCACCCTAGATTTGCAATTACATCGTAGCACAGCAAATTACATTATCAGCCCTACAAGCAATTGTCATACTGGTATCCAAATCAAACATGTATGTCTATTGCGTTTTAGATTCCCATTGTCGTACATCGTCAACGAAAATTTCCAAAATAAAAGGTAATGATACTAGAACTGTATGTAATAGTCTGTCATTTTCGCAACTCTCAATTTACGCGTTACGGTTCGAATCGAGCATTCTCATTGATGGTCCCCACTCCTAGAATGAGTCTTATCCCCACCCATCCACGCGGCTCGGGTGCGTGCTCGGGCGCGACTCAAGTTGCTCGCGTGCGGCTCCCAAGGCCAATCAAAAGGAAAATGCTGTGCAGAAAATGCGTCTCATCGTCACACAGCAATAGATACTAAGACATTTGTAAGAAAAGCGCACAGTTATAACTTTGCCCCAGGCGGGAATGGAACCCGGAGTGGCGCCGTGGAAAGGATCAAGCTAGCCAGCGAGCCATCGAGGGCTGCAATCTCACTTCCAGGCCCCAATGATCGCATAAGAAACCCCGATATCCTCAATATAGGAATCAGTAACAGCAAAATAAAACTATACACTTCTGCATTATTTGAACTAGACTCGGATAACATTCCAGTCTTAATAACCAGACAACAAATATCCCCGCCGCACGCCCGAGTACCAAATCCAAATGCGTCAAAAGTTGGCGGGAAAAATTCCCCACGATAACTAGTTCAACAATAACTAAATTCAAAATTTTCTCCAATCCACTAGAAATAGAGCAATCAATCAACCAAATAACCACCATAATACATACCGCAATTAAAGAGACCGAATGAAAACCAAAGAGTACCAAAAACAATAAACAATATAAACTTCCTCCAGAAATAGTAAAACTAATACAAATCAAAAGCAAAACCTGCAGACTATGGTCGCAACTAAGAACATCAGGGATAAAACTAGAACTTACCGTACAAATAAACATTGTACATAAATCAATTAAAAACTTCAACAATCAGCAATCTGCTTCAATCACTAAACACAACAAATCCATTTGTCAACTCACAAGCAAAATATTAAGAAAAACATACCATTCCCCCTCTAGACACCCCCACGGGAAAAGAGTATACGCTTACTCAGTAAGTGGAAGAGCTAGCAAATTATGTTGCATCCACATTCACCCTAAACCGCACCCTAGTCATCTCACAATCAATAAAACAGTAAATGAACAGACATACGGCCCACATCATAAAATACACTACACATCGCCTAAAGAAAGAAATAAAATCATCAAATCATTACCTGTGAAGAAAGCCCTTAGACATGATAACATTAACAATTTAACATTAAAAACCCTGCCCAAACAGCCATTGCTTATCTAACCAATATCTTCAACTCACGCTTCAGACTAGGCTACTTTCCGCAAGAATGAAAACATGAAATCATTCTTTTGGTACGAAAACCAAACAAGAATGCATCTCTAACCAACAGTTACCGCCCAGTCAGTCTGCTTCTCACGCTATCTAAACTACTAGAAAAAATAATCTTGGACATCAAGCGTACGGCGGGATACACAGGCTAGTTGTCTTCTTTATAAAAAAAAAATATTGTGATTCACCTGATACCCAATATTTAATAAAGTGGCAGTTTGGATTGTCTTTCACCCGTTTGAATGCCAACGGAATATTTTTCATCTATTGCTAAACCAACTGTGGTGCTGACATAATAAATAGTAAATATGCCTCAGTCTTTCATTCCACACATGACAAACACACCGTCATATCATTAAATCTTCCTTATCTTCTTAATTGAGAAAGACACAAATTCTAACGTTCTAAGAGTGAAATTTGTTGTACTAATGTTGATTTTTCAATCTTCGGTGAAGAGTGGCCAACCTCTGCTCAAGAAAGTCTCTTACAAATGGAAGCGTTGGTGTATTTTTAATTTGAACATTTTGCATTGTGAAGTTTGATGCTGCTATAGATGAAATATTCATTTGTGTAACAAGGAGTTCATCATCTGGGGCAATAATCCCCCATGATAAAGTATTTTGACGTTTCCCTAGATATTCAGCAAATGCTGAAATTATTGTTTTTCTTCTGAGCTGTCAAATACATCTCAATTATCCGCACTCGTTTTTTCCTGCTCTCTTTTTGCTGGATACGGGAGTAAGGTCGGGAAGAGGTTAGTTAATTCACCCGCAATAGTATAGAATAAAATCTGTCAAATGGTTGCCAATGCAATTGTCTTTTACACAGAAGCGAAAATTGTTAATTTCTTATTAAAAACCGCTCTAGTTTGTACCTTTATTATTCAACTTGTATGTTAGTAAGTAAAAAAGAATTCTGGACCTCGCGGAAATGTGCACCTAGGATATTTTTCCACCGTATGCCACCAAGTTTTTGGACGATAAGTAAATTAAATTAACCAGAGATGCAAGTTAAGGGCGAAGCGACGTGCAAGCGAAGGTAGCGAGTTTGAACCGCACATTTCCGTCAGGCGGGTAAACTGGGAAATGATAAATTCCCATAAACCTATATTCTATTTATGAGCAGCAGTTCACCATCAAATGATCAGTTAATAATTGCACTGGGCTATTGACGCAAATATGCACTATGCTCTGGTAACTCTGGTAATGCATTCTTGTTCTTTGTTCGTTACAGTATATGCCTACGAAAGCAATCCCTGAAATGTTTGGAAATGGTTTCAACTGTTTATCGAAATTTGTTTTAAATATTTATTTCATACAAGAGTAAATTTAGTAAATGTACTTCATGAAAGGAACATTCATATTTTTGTAGAATTGCACAACTTCAGAAAGCTGTCCTTGAAGTAATATGGCCATTGGCTACTAAGACAACAAGATATTTTTAGACAGGAATGAAAGTTGTGCTAAGACATTACTGATTACAGTATTCACTTAATTTGAAAGTATTTTCACAGTATTATTGTGAAAATTATTTAAATTGTGTATGGGTTACATTGGTGAAAGGTTTGCAAGAGAAAAATGTAATTTTATATAATTGAAGTATTTAACAAATCTGAGTAAATAAGAATACATAAATTACAAATATTACATTTCATATACAAAACATAACAAATATTCAACAACAGCAACAAGTCAAATTCTAAGGTTAGATAAGTGCCTTGTTTTTTTTCAAATATTGAGTAGCATGCAAATCGGAATGCCTCATTCAAATTATTGAATCACAAAGAAAAAATGACGAAACATCTCCAAACACTGTATCAATTAATTCAAAGAGAAACAAGAATTTAAATTGGAGTATTGAAAAATATTATTTTGCAAAAATATCATATCACATTAATCTCCAGAATATATCAACTGGCATGCACAATGCCCAGAAGCACTAAATTAAGAGCAGTTTATGAGTACAGCATGCAAATCACAGGCTTAGATCATAATATATTATCACGTCAGAAAGTTTTTTCTCACGAGTGATATTATGTAAGGCCTATCTATAAATTCATTTTACATATCTTTGGTAGGTTCACACACACACAAAAATACAAATACCAAATTTTACAAAATGAAAATATTAATCCTTGCAACATTTAAATTCTAAAAATATTTTCAAATAATAAATTCTCAAAAAAAGGCCTTCTCAAAATATTTTCTTCATGTTCCTCAATTGAATAATGATTTAATTTCAATACACTGGAAGACAAAGGAAAATTGAAAGCAGAATTGTTAACATTATTTTTACATGTCTAATAAAATGTTGTGCAATTCAAAAAGACACAACAAAGCAACAACAAATGAAAAAAATATCACAGTCAATTTTATTATAGTTTTCATTCACATAGGCAAATTTAATTTTTGGGCACAAATCCTCTGAATTGATGTCTGGCCCAATCGTTTAGCTTCATTCATAATTCTATGAATGTCTTCAAATCTCTCATTCTTCACAGCAAGGAGATATGCTGATTTCAGCTGATGTGTTTCAATGTATACTGATATCTGAAAAAAAAAAAGTAACCATAAACATTTATGAATACAACGCTCTCAACCCCAACTGCAAAGAGAGGTAATGTCACTCAGGGCAGAATGTTGCACAATTTTTTCACAATCATACACTTAAATTTTCCATTTAGATTTTAGATTTACTTTGTCAAAAAAACAGTAAAAACTGTATATGACACATGGGGGAGAAGATCATCTGTGCACGTTTTCTTGAGTTCCAGAATCCCTTCCCATCAATTTAACTATAAATAGCTGAAAGATGAGAAAGTTTAAAGTAAATAAATAAAAATAATTTTAATAAAAGCACGAGATTAGCAACATTTGAAAAAATTGACATTTTCATTCCCGAATTATAGAAAACTTATTTGCATCGGTAAACAAATTGCAAGTATAATTTTTCTGCATTGCTAACAAAATATTAATTCGCTCTTACTTCTACTCCTACCATTACAAGCAAAAGGCAACAAACATGCGCATAGTGAAGGTACATTTACGTCTAGAAGTAAAACAAGGCGCCATTTCTGCATTTGCTCTATGCATCAGGGAAACTGGACAAAAACCTGACCGACATGGGGGTCGTTGACCCAAAAGCTAAAGCACATTATTTGTTACAAACATATTAAGTCTTTTTAAAAACTTTATACAATACAACTGTAAATTAATTCAATATATATCACTGTTTTGTTAAAATTAACATTATTTTTCTTTTTGATTACCAGTATAGTCTCTAATTGTATAGAAACAGTTATAGAAACATGTATAAAAACACTTGCATTCAACAGGAGAAAAAAAAAAGAGGAAAGTGGACCACCAGAAATTTTTACATAATATTTCCAGGACAGCAAGGTCAGGAAGCATTCTATCTTTCATTCTTTCTTTCGTTTTATGAAATAAATACTCACATATTTTCAAGATATTTATGTTTACTTCAGAAAACATGAATACTGCGCATATTTCATACTTATATCAGTCATTAAGTTATCGAGTATAATGAAATAGAGAGAAACTTGATTTCTGATATTTCTAGTTTATTGAAATATATTGTAAGGTTCATGTCAAAGCAAAAATATTTGTTTGCATGTTAGTATTTCCAAACAGAATAAACAAGGAGAATTTTACTGTTAGACTCTACCTTTGCTGAAACACTAGTCATAAGTTTGACTAGATTTTCTCCAACATGTAGTTCCCCTTTCTCTGAGAATACTTGCAATGCAGCAGTCAGAACATTATCACACAAAGCTGAAGTTTCTGCCACAGAAAGGCCTGACTGCTGGATGCACTTTACCAACCTCTCAATATCAGTTACTTGGTTTTTCTCAGCCAAATGACGAACCACAACACCATACACATGGAAGTACTTGATATGATGATCCTGAATGATTCTGCAAATACATTCAAAACTAATTATAAACTTATACTTCATATGTTAAAAAATAATGAACTCCATTTATATTATTTATCTATGTAAAGTTCCGTTTAGTGTATGATTTTCACAACTGAGGGAGGATTTTGAATAAGACTACACCATTGACTGTGTAAAAACTCTTTATAGTTACAATTTTGTGTCATGTATCTTATTATGTCTCAGTGAGACACCCTTAATAATGAATCACATTGCTCTTCAACTGTTAACATCAAATTTTTCTATAATAATCTTTTTTCATTACAAATTATCTTCAATTTTTTCCAGAAAATTTACAAGAATTCTATAACATTTATATCTACTACAACAGTAGTGTCATAAAAAAAAGTCAAATATCTGGAAAACTATGAATATTAGTAGATAAACTCCCATCTAAATATGTGAAAAAATGAAATACACTATAACCAAAGAGAATGGTGTAGCATATCAATCAGCAAGAATATTCTTCATGTCTTCCGGGCTGATGGGCCGTGGTCCAATTGGCTCTGGGATGCCATGGCATCCCAGAGCCAATTGGACCACGGCCCATCAGCCCGGAAGACATGAAGAATATTGACTCCGGCCGTGAAAGCCTACAATGCTGTATAATCAGCAAGAATGTTTTTAAAACGTAAGTGGTAATTTTCAAGCTACACTTTTTAAAAAATTCTTTTTCTAACTTTCATGACACAATTTTGCAGAAATCAAATTTTTTACCAAATGTGCGTTGTTAATTTTTTAAATTTCAAATATCCTTCAAATATAGCCATCACAATCACAATTTTATAAGTTTATGATGAGTATTGGAGGTGAACACAGAAAAGTCGTTTTCAACAAAAGTTGATCTTTGACATCCTTTATTCTTTTCTATCTCGACAATCCACTTTGTTATGGAGGTAGCCAAAGGACAATGATCAACCCATGTGTCCATCAGACCAGCATAATTTCCATGCCAGAGACAAAACTTAAAAAAAAAATCACTAATAATGCAGTTCAAAAATTTGAGGCAACCATATAGACACGTAACTCATCTGGAAATTTCCAAAGCATGAGAGAAGTTCATTGACACAAATCAAATTACCTCCAAAAAGTTACAAAATGTGGCAAATAGTAATTACTGAAAGGTGTGCTCCAAGTACATTCCATGACTGATATATCACACTTCATGATTAGCCATCAGGGAGGAGGTGTTGAGAACATTTTTAATTCTTTAGGATAGTCTTGATTGGTGCATACCAGATGTGTGTGTGTGTGTGTGTGTGAATGAATTTGAGTTAGTGAGTGATTTTTTTTACGTGGGCAGGGGATAATCTTCTAAA